ACATGTCTGAAGCTGCTCCAATATCTCTGAGCCAAAGCCGGGTAGCTCGTAAGCTAAACTGGCTGAAGCTGCCAGGATAACTCCGGGTTGAATTGTGAGGTCCCCGACCTCAGTTTATTTTTTTTTGGGGGTAACTTCGGCGCAGTCACGAAAACAGTTTGTAATTGCACTTCAGGCAATCCCACGAATACAACACCCCCCCACGCGACCCCACCGGAACCAAAACGTAGGTCATATACATTCAGCATTACCGGCCCTTTTGCCTCAAGTGCAATTACAAACTCAAACCCTGACTGGGCCGTAGTTTTCTCTTTTTTTTTTCTATATTCTTCTCTCAACTTCTGTTTCTTTTACCTTCCACTACCTACTCCTAAGACTATCTAGAGGGGACCCCTGCAAGCATAGTTTCCTCTCTCTGTGAAGGGGAGATTTCATGTTGCCCCTTGCCCCTAATGGWTAGGGTATAGGGTTGGGGCCGCCAGTGGGGGTCTGGCTAACACAAAGACCGAGACCTGGCAGTAGCTGTGCCTCCCTTTCTCATCGTCCCCCACCCTTCATCGAGTAGCAGCAGAGGCTATGGCCAACACTCTCCCACACACCACACACAACCCACTCGCGCTCACACTCACACCCGTGTTGGTCATAGACCCCGCTAATACCGATCAGGGGTATCCAGAGGACTATCACAGTCCGTTGGCACTAAGTGCGCCGCAGGCGGCCATGGGGCTTGAACCCACAACCTCCTGAATGCCACTTGCATGCCTAACCAACTGAGCTAGGCCGCTGAACCCCCGGCCTCAGTTTATACTCTCTGTTCTAATAAAGTTTCAAACTTTCCAAAAAAAAAAAGGAAAAAAGAAAAAAAGAAAAGAGGATTCAGGCGCTCGCCACACAGCCTTCCGAACGAGGCAAAATCGACAGTCCATCTTCACCATACAGCCTTTCGAACCATGGCCCCCAGGAAACCCTTCGAAAGGTGTCAGGGCACTCGGCCTCGAAAGGCATTTTGAGGTGGCACTATCCTCCCGCCCGCCACACAGCCTTTTGAACCATGGCCCCCAGGAAACCCTTCGAAAGGTGTCAGGGCACTCGGCCTCGGAAGGCATTTTGAGGTGGCACTATCCTCCCGCCTGGCACGGCCCGTTTCTCAAAAGGCGCCGCGAGGTCTTGCGGTAGAGGCCATCTTGAGATCCACCTGTCAGGGTCGCCACCCTGATGACCGCCAATCTTGTTGCCACATGTTCCAAAGTGGCCTTCAGAAACGGGCCAATAATCTTAGGAGTAGTGGTAGGAAGGTAGTGAAAGGCAAAAAGAATTTGAGAGAAGAACATAGTGTAGTGGGACCTCTCCTTTTTTTTTTTTTTAGGGCAGTATTTCGAAAGGCTGTGTGGTGAATGGGGGGGGGGGGGGGGGGTTCTTTCTACGAGCAGCCTGACATATTCGGGAAAATGCCTGTCATTCGAAAGGCGGTGTGGCGAGCCAGACAGACTTCCAATCCAACCCTCTTTGCTAGTGGGACCTCGCCTTTGAGCAAGGATGACCCACATATAAATCGAGAAGTGGGCTATAAAAAATAAAAATAAAACAGAAGAAGGAAAACCCACCCGCAAACCCATGCAAATTTTCCAGTAACCCTTCACCGCAGCATTGATTACTACCCCCAAAGAGATCTGCCCCACCGCAGCATTGATTACTACCCCCATACACACCTCCCCCCCCCCCCCCCCCGAGAAAAAAGGACCGCCAGCCCCCAAAAGAACTGCTATGCTATCTCCAAGGGAGATGCAAACAAAACAGTCCAGGTCACCAGACCCTCCTTCGCCCCCTCCTTGGCCCCCATTTTTTCGTTGAGGGCTAACTATGGGCATCGCCACACCACTCTCGAAATGTGCGAAATGACAATGAACTCCCCGCTAGAACATGACCAGATGCGCCATCCACATTTTTGTCTTTTTCACATTTCTCGAGTGGTGTGGCGAGGCCCTATAGCAGGGGGGGTCTGCCAGCGTTGGAAAACCGCCACCAGCCCGGTCGGTCCCCCCAGTCGGACTGGACTCTGCGCCGGCAGTCTGGTGTTCGAGGCCAGTGCGAACGGTTTCCACGTGCTCGCCTCACGGAGGCCACGAGGCCTCCCGGGACGGCCATGTGGCAACCCGATGTCACCCCCACGACTCCGACCTCGGCTGCTCGAGCGCCTCCGTGAAGCACGAGCGCTCGGGACATTGGACACAACCGGCGAGTGTGCCTACCCACGCAGGCATCAGCAGTAGGTGGGCCTGGCGTCCTGCTGATCGTGCGGGTAGCGTGCAGTTTTGCCGGAAAAGACCTGGGCCTTGGACACACACACACACACAAGCTTAGGGGAAAAAAGATGAAGAGGGAGAGGGGGACACGGGGTCGGCTGACGTGGCCACTCCCTCCCATGCATAGATAGATAGACCTTCCCACTGGGTTCCAAATCTTGCCAAACGCCCCCCCCCCCACTAACCCTCCCTTCTGGTTGTTATTGTTACACCCTCGCTACACCCACTCACCACATGCAGAATAGGTAAAAAGTATGGCGGTGGAAATTCCCATGTCCTAGCAGAAGAGTAGCAGAAGATTCACTCAAGTTTTGGTGAGTAGTGGAGCGAGGCCCAAGGACTGTACTGGTGAACTTTGTATCTATCTACTATCTTTTTTTTTTTTTTTTTTTTTTTTTTTTTTTTTTTTTTTTTTAAAAATCTATCTACTATCTACAACAATTCTAATTTTTGACTTTTTTTCAAAAAAAAGGATTAGGAATGTAGTTATCGCTGCAATTGGCAAAGGTGAGAAGAGAGTCAAGAGGAGGAGAGCGAAATTTCTATCTGTGAGGCATGTTATGTTCACACTAGGACTTTTTCTATTCTAGTAAGCTCTCTGGACGTCATAGCGGCCAGATTCATCCACGTCGGGGAGTCAGGTGCATTCTGGAAAGTAGTGATTCTGTGGGTATGCCCTAATTCTACGCTAGTGGATGGAATTGGGAATTGGCATACTGCTCGTTTTGGGCAGCGTTCTAGAAGAGGGGAGGGAGAGGGGGACAGCTCTTGTAGCCGTTTAACTCAGCGCTCTAGAAGAGGTAGTGCTCTTCCGGTGGGAATCGCTCTAAGAGAGGGAGAGGGAGAGGGAGAGGGTGATAGCCCTCTCTTTGCCAGATTGGTCCGCTGCGGAGAGCTCTGGCAAGCTCTGGCATTTCCGTCCGCTTTGAGGTTTGTTGTTGTAGAAGATGGATTTCTCCTCTCAGGGGAGATTCGCACTACCGGTAGGGAACTGTTCTTGTATCTATTTTTTGACAGCAACTGCCGGTCTGGGCGGGAAGTATCAGATACTGAACTTGGTTTAGAGAATCGGTGGAGAAAGGACGAGTGTGAATACACTCACCCTTGAGAAATTTTTTGGCCTATCAGTTTCCTCCCTCTGCTTTTGGGATTGCTCTAGAAGAGGGATTGCGCCCTAACCCTACTACCGAATTGACACTCTCAGTGGGGTTATAAGGCCTCGCCGCAGCACTCAGCAAATCTGAAAAGAACAAAAGTGCGCGGGTGTGCCTTTCCATGATTTGCAGATTTGATGAGCGGTGCGGCGAGGTCTTATAAGTGAGCCAACGTGGAAAGAGGGAGGGCTACCCCAAATCATAATTGGATATATAAGTGACAAGTGACCCGTAGAGAAAGTAGTACGCCAATCTCTATCTTCCGGTGCACAGCGTGTATACGGTAGAGGAGTGGATGAGGTGGTGCCACGTGTTCACTTTGTCTGGTTGTGGAGATTACTCGCCAAGCTGCGGCGAGGTTTTGTGAAGAAGAGGGATTTGTGAAGAAAGGGTGGGCTTTGGGAAGAAGGGGGTGGGTTTGGGAAGAAGGGGGGGGGCTTGGGAAGAAGG